TTGATGTGTGTTTATATATGTTAAGAGTTGTTTTTTTGTAAACCTTGGGATGAGATTTATTGTGGTCTTTGATCTTGCACCAGGCCTAGACCATAAAACATCTAGATAGCCATCACCATTTATTTCTGTATTTTGTACTCAGCACTGTGAATCCTTTTTGTCAGATTAAATGTTTACTTAATCAGCTTGTGTCTCTGTTCTCTATGAGCTTCACTCTCCAGAGGAAAGCTCAGGTAAACACGTTACCAAAAAGGGTTAACTATATATGTTTTATCAGTAAAAGTAGAACTGTGATACTATAATTCTGCTGTGTGTGGGGTAACCTAAGACGCCCGGGTTTAAAAGTCTTGGTGGTGGCAGTAGAGTATGTACTAAAGGGTGTTCGTGTAGAAGGGATTGCAGGGGTTAATTGAGTGGTTGCTGGGACAAGCAACAGGTAACCAGGGGTCTGGTGTCATTAACCCTGTCACTTCCACACTCTCCCCACTGTCTCGGCTGGGCCTATAGCCCACGCACGTGACAGGGGGGTATATGATAGAAACAGTTAAACACATTAAGGGAATCAACACAGTAAAGGAGTAGACTATATTTAAAAGAAGAAAAACTACCACAACAATATGACAGTCTTAAATTAGAGGGGCAAAAGTTTAAAAATAATTACTTTACTGAGAGGGTAGTGGATGCATGGAATAGCCTTCCAGCTGAAGTGGTAGAGGTTAACACAGTGAGGGAGTTTAAGCAGGCATAAGGCTATCCTAGACTTGAGATAAGGCCAGGGACTAATTAAAAGTATTTTGAAAATTGGGCAGACTAGATGGGCCAAATGGTTCTTATCTGCCGTTACATTCTATGTTTCCATGATCAGGACAGAGAGAGTTCAAGGTCCAAAAGGCCAAATAGAAGATGTAGAGAACAGCTACAAGTACCTGTGGGTACCACAAATACATGGCAACCACGAGGAAGAGGCAAGGTGGATCGCAATATCCAAGTACCTCCAAAGAGTCAGGCAGGTCCTGAAGTCACAAATCAATGGCAAGAAGATCCAAGCAATCAATACATATGCCCTACCAGTCATCAGGTACCCAGCAGGAATAATAACCTGGCCAAGAGAGGAACTGGTCACCATGGATGTCAAAACCCTGAAACTACTCACTATGAATGGAGGATTCCACCGGAAATCCAGCACCCAGAAACTGTACACCAGCCAGAAGGAAGGAGGTCGGGGCCTGATGAGTGTCAAGACCACAGTCCTGGATGAAACACAGAGCATCCATAAGTACATCACAAAGATAGCTCCCAAAGATGAGCTGCTATGGGAATACCTGAGACAACAACAGATAGAGAATGCAAAAAAAAGAGAAGGTTCCATGACAAGACAAACCTCTCCATGGGCTGTACCACCATGTGGCTCACATAACAAAATCCTACCAGTGGTTTGAAAAGGCAGGACTGAGGCACTAAACCTAGCGGCACAGGAACTGGCAATCAGCACAAGATCAATAGAAGCTGGAGTCTACCACACCGGTTAAGACCCAATGTGCACACTGTGCAAAGAGGCCTCTGAGACCGTCCACCACCTAGTAGCCAGATGCAAGATGTTAGCAGGAACAGCATACATGGAGAGACACAACCAAGTTGCTGGGATTGTGTACCGAAACATCTGCACAGAATATGGATTGAACCCAGATGGGAGATACCACAAAGGGTAGTTGAGAATGACAGGGCTAAGACAAGCAAGTGCTGGCCAACCAACCAGACATCGTTGTGGTAGACAAGGAGCAGAAAACTGCAGTCATGGTGGATACCAATACCCAGTGACTATAACATGAGGAAGATGGAATATAAGAAGATGGAGAAATACCAAGGACTGAAAGAAGAACTAGAAAGGATGTGGAAAGTGAAGGCAGTACTAGTCCTAGTTGTGATAGTAGCACTCAGGGCAGTGACTCCTAAGTTGAGGGAGTGGCTTCAATATATTCTAGGTGGGACATCTGAGATCGCTGTCCAGGAGTGCAGTTGTAGGAACAGCTAAGATACTGCGCAGAAACATCGGACTCCCAGGCCTCTGGTAGAGGACCCGAGAATGAGGAATAAACATTCCACCCAGGAGGGGTGATAAAATCAATTTAAAAAAATA